ATGTTATGTAATGCAATTTGGTTCATTCAACATTCATCAGCTGCCTACTATATTCCAGGTCTATGCTAGGTCCTAAGTACAAAAAGATGAGTAAAATTTGGCATTTTTCCTGTGGGCAGTAAAGAACATTTGAGAATATATATTTTTTTATCCAGGAAGGACTGGATAAAGATGGGAGAAGCTAGGGCCATGACAGATGAAACGGGAAGGAGACAAAAAGGAAAAAACTGAGCCAAACAGACTTAGCAATATGGCAGTCTCCATCAAGAACTAATCACTGTTGCCAGTGCCTCCAAGGCAAAATTTCTTGTGAACGGTGTTTCAAGTTCTCAGTTTCATTAGCATAATAAGTTCAAGATGTGGGTGGTCTGTATTTGAAAATAAAATATCTAGGAGATTGTTTCTACATAGAGCTCAAGTTTACTTCTTTATAGACCTTCCTTATTCCAAAACAGTATTAGAGGTACATTAGAGAGATACAAACAATAAACATAATAAAAAATTAAGAAAATAAAGAAATGGAAGTGAAGTAAATATATAATAAAATCTAGAGAAAGGTTCAACACATCTAATGCCCTGTTAGAGACTGTAGAATGTTCTGTACAATTGCAATAGTCAGGTCACACATTTCACTTGGAACTTCCAAGCAGGAAGAACAAAGGAGACATATAGAGGGTAACAAATCTGAGAGTCTACGAAGAAAAACAAATCAGAGGCTCAGGAGAAAAATGACTTTTTCTATTTAAGACTGATTTGAAATTTTGTCTATAGCTCCTAAAAAAATTAGGACACTGTAATATTAAGGACTGCAGCCTCAGCAACATCCATATAATAATCACAACAGTTTAGTACAGTACTGATTGCAATATCCTTCACGATACCAAACTAGAGCTCATGCCTAACTAAGGGGCCACTCACCTGCTCCATGTAGACAAATGAGTCTGAGGCCCCAACTCAGCCCCATAGAACATGGCTGCCATGAATTTAGTCTGGAAAATTTCTAAGTCACTAATTGAAATTTTTAATTTCCCATTTGGGTGAACTCAGTGGAATGTGCCTTGGGATACAGTGAGGAACTACATAAAAATGTATGTTACTTCGAAGAAATGAGGTAAATGTCAGCACACAGATAAGGCAGAAAGTGGAGAATGACATAGGAAATGTTCCTATGTACTCTGGGTCATAAGGCAGCTTTTTGTACAATGAATCTGGACCGTCATGTGATAAAATAAACCAAGATTTTGCTTTATGCAATTATTAGCCCACAATGACCCTAGTTTTTTAAGTTTCCGATAGGTCAACTAAGTAATTAGGTAAATCTGGTGATTATATTTTGGGCATTGGTAACTTAGGATTTTCAAATAAAAGCCTCTGCCCTACCTGGACTTTCTCTTCTGGAAACACAGCTTTATCCTACTTCCTCTGTGAATGTCTTCTCTGCCTCCTTTACTTAATTGAGCCTGAACTTGTATTGGAAGACCGCCTTCTAGAAGAGGCTGCTCCTTCTCCCAATATCCAAGTACCAATATCCAAGTTTCCCTTTGCAGCTTCCAAACTAGGCCATGACTCCTATGGTCTCATGTTTTCTTTTTAAGTTTCCATCCTATACCATTGATCTATGCTATCCCTCATCCCTTCTCTTCACTGTCATCTACTCACCCTCTCAGCCAAGACATGCACGTGAGTCACAACACCCCTCCCCACTTACCTCCTAAAATCACTCTGCCTGGTGTCAGAATCTATATGAATAAGTCTATCAATATCTTAGCCTCAAAATTCATGATCTTCACTTCATCCACACTAAACTTTAGCAAACTATTGGATTGGATCATGAAAGTGCCTTTTTATAAATAAAAAATGGGAGAATAGTAGCAATTCCACATGGGTTGACCTAATAGTTCCAAGGCCACAATCTAGACATAGAAATGACCTGCAACATCACCATCAATGAAATCTTAAAGTCCACTTCTTACCCTGGCCACAGCTTTCCCTGAGTTGTTCACTTACTACCAGGATCTGAATAAGGATTTCTCCAAAACTGGGTAATTTCATGATAACCTCTAACATCATTATATTGCCTCTTTTTACCCTGTCTATTATTTCCTGCTCTATATAGCCCCTACATAAAGTATGTCACTTCAAGTCCCTTCAACTCCCTCATCAACTTATCTTATTACACCTGACTTGAAAATCCCTAGCTTTGCATTAAGCATATTGTCTGTATACTTGAGGCATTCATTTATCCATTTAGCAAATATTTTAAAGGACCCACATTGTATCCCAAGTGCTGTGTTAGATGCCAAGGATAGGATGGGTAAACAAGCAAGGTATGGTTTCTGTTCTCAAGAGTTTATAGCCAATCAACTAATAAGCAAGCCAGCAATTAACAATGCACAGTACGTAGGAACTATTTTAGGAGAGGCATTTATTTTAAAAAAATCCACAGTTTGGTAGCTAATTCATACATGGTGTCTGCCAAAGGAAGTGGTCCTTCCTCTTTCATGATGTCTGGCTATAAGTAGAAAATAAGGAGGGAAAATCAAGTGAAAGAAAAAAAAATGACCCTAATCAAAACATCACTTCTGCAAATAGTGTTACATCTTTTATGTTGGACAAAATCTACTGGAAGACCCACTCTGGAGTGATCCTTGGGATCTAATTTTTTTCACTCACTCCATGGTAAGAGGGTGATATCAACACCAGAAAAAAAAATAAGAGGAAAGTGAATATAAACACTATGTTTTTAAAAGTATACTTAATAAAACTACCTAACAAATGGCTTCAAAAACTATCTGACATACGGCCTCAATGGATTTTACCTGCTCTCAAATAATGCTACATGGTTTCAAACTTTTGAAGAAATGCCGAAACCTTTCCAAAGAACATGCTTTCCAAGCATGTTTGTTAGAGGGATTCATTAAAACAAAGAAAGGGAAGATAAATTAACAAAATAGTGATCAAAATAGTGATCAAAATAGTGAGTGATCAAAATAGTGATCAAAATAGTGATCAAAATAGTGATCAAAATAGCAAAATTTCACAGAAACAGTCAAATATGATAATCTAGGTAAGAACTAAATAATGAAGACAGAAAATTCCTTGAATTAGAAAGTCTAAGCAATGCATACTTATTGTGAGTGAGGAAAATCTATTTAACCAAGTTCCTGGTATGCAATGTGAAAAATGAAATATGATAAATGGTTCTTCTTAGCCGATTTTAACTGTCATAGAGATAAATCTTTTCCTAAATTTCAAGAGTAATTCCAAATCCATTAGGAAAAAAAAAAACAAAAAACAAAAAGCATGTGATGAGCTGCAGAATGTATGGCACAACTCAAACTGCAGAGGGCAGACCAGGCTCATGCATGATTCAGGCAGGCACAGGACCACAGACAATCAATTCATAAGGCATGGCTGTGGAATCCAGGGCAGCTTTTTAAAGATCCAAACAACCAGTCTAGAGTAAGGCCTTAGAATCTGGGGATTGGAAAGCAGAATACTACCAGTACCACTGTCACCTGGGGCAAAAGTACAAATAGAAATGCACATACCACATACCTAAATATGCAAATATTATAAATCAGACTAATAAGCTGTTAAAATGCATTATCTCCTATCTTGACAAATATACCTTTATAATGACTTGGAAGGCTAGGCTCAAATTTAAAATTCTTGAACTCCTCTCATGGTGGAATATGGCAACTGAAAAATAAATGTACTATGGAACCCTTTTTTCTTCCTATCCTCCCCAATTCCAGTCTTCACTCTCAGGAGCTTCATGTACATAGGTGTGGCCCCTTCAGCCTACATACCACATCAACGGTTGCCCTTTGTCCATCTCTCCAGCCTGGAAGTTCACACACGATTGATGCAATCTGCCCTAGGCAGAAGTGACTCTGGCACCCAAGTCAGTTCTGGCCCATGAAGGCCACGAAAAGTGGATCGGTTACTTATTAGAACTTTTCAGTTTTCAGGCATGTGTAATGTGTTCTAGAAGGGGTGGGAGGTCACTCACTGGATGGGCAAAACCTCTGGCCCTGTGGACTCCTCACCCCGTAGAAAGAGGAAAGGGCCAGCTCATTAATTTGAGGCCCAGTGAAAAATGAAAATGCAGGACCCTTTGTTCAAGCAGTAATAACAAATAATGTTATTAAAGCTACTAAAAAATATAGAGCTTTTTCCTTTCTCCCATAGTCTTTCTCGGCTTGTCACAGTGTTTATTTGTTATTTAAAGTTGTTCTAAATACAGAAAAATCAGTTTTAAAGTATTCATACGACTTTTACCATTTATATGTATGTTGTACAATTCCAGTTCTAAATGCAAATATAAGAGCATTTAACTCATATGTGGAATATACAAACTTCTATTTTTGTAGTTTATGCATGCATATGTATTTC